ATGCCTACATATTCTCAGCACATGAGCTATGAATATGTTACACTGTTTATAAAACATGTTCCAAAACACTGTCTCCCAATCTCCTCCATGCGCATTAGTTTATTCCACATGGAATGTTAAATTTGATTCCTCCTATTCCATCCTACCTATTTATTTATATAATCTCAAATATCCCCCTAGTCGGTAGAAGAACTCATCATGACATCGCAGTAATGGCAACGTTCCGGGGGGAAGTGGCAAAGCTTAAAAGTACACTACGAAATAGTATAAAAGAGGAACTGGACTAAGTGCCATGTGCAATGTTGGGTCCAAGAGCTGAGTTGACGACGACGAATATAGGGTAGTTAAAGTGACGCAGAAAGATAAGTTGGTTTATCCACAACACAATGTTAGTCAACAAAAGCAGGGGTATTTATACAGGGAGTAGAGCACAACGAATATTCTGGAATAAAAAACACTAAACGACGCAACCCAATCTATACGCAGTCACAAAGAACATTCCAGAAAATTCCGCACAACAACCTATAACAGAGATATCCCTAGAACTTCCGAAGAACATGATCAAGGATCATCGAGGTCTCAACATGTAAGAAGGCATTTTATGATGCAGTCTGTGTTTCATCCCTTAGCTGTAAATTATGGAACGATCAAAGCCCAGCCAAATGCTTCTGTCGAAAGAAGCTGGTAGCTTTTTCAAAAAATGAATATTTATATCATCAGTGGGCTGGCCACTGGATGATGCAGCACTGGTCAAAGCAACTGGAAAAATTGCCAAATGAATTAATACAAAAATGCAAAAAATAAATTAACACCTTTTCCATTTGATTTCAAATTTTAACAAAAATAGACCATCAAGGAAGGTACCTGAGGCGAAGAATTTGCGAAGCACCCTTTAATTTACAACGAAAATAGTCCTGAAGGAATTCTTCGTCGTCCAAATTCTGAAAAACAATTTCTCAAAATGTGATAGCAAATTCAGAACTTATCCATGAGACCCGTGGTACTCCTGAAACTTCTAAATACGCACTGTTTACGTATATTTCAGATATTTCAATATGTGTTTTTATGGATAATACTGTCGAACTTTTGCCAGTTGCTCAAAAATAGCTCAAGGATTCCCTACTATCTTTTCCATAACAGTTTATTAAACTAATCCCATCCCAGTTTTAAATTTTCTGATTGTGGCCGTTCCAAATTTTCCATGCTCCGGACCGCTTGCTTGCTTCAGAGATTACGGTTCAGCCCGCCAACGACCGCAAATTATATTAACAATCCTATCCTACCCTTCGTTTTAACTTTCTGACTTCGGCCGTTCCACATTTTGATTTCTTTGGACCGTCCATCTTCTTCTGAGATTACGATTCGGCTTTCTAAACGGCCACAGTTTGGCATCCCGACTATTCCTTTTCACGATTTTTCTCGAGCAACATGGCTGCGATATTTTTGGCTCAAAATGGGGCAGCCCTACCTCCGTCGGAAGAAAAAATTTTTTGCGGCTTGTATATGAAACGAGCTGAGCCGAGCTAAGGAAATTTCCTATTTATGAAACTGATGCTTAGATAAAGCTGTTCCATAAAAAAACCGCCAAAAGACAAGCGCCTGATCAATTTGTTTCCTGGCAGGATTATTTAAGACGCACGCTTTATTTACGTAGTGTTATGACAGATGGAGTAGCTTTCATGAACGGAGTTCTTTTCGCAAAAAAAAAAAACAGGCAAGAAGGGATTCAACCCCATATCTTCACGGTCTTCCAATCTTTTGATCCGCAGTGTAACGTCTTACTACTTCCACAAGTAGCCTGCAACTTTTCCAAATTTTGGCCAATCTTTCGCGGATGTCTGCGACCAAGTCACTGTACATACAGGCTTGCTTATTTAGGAGAATTAAATGGCACTTCCAGTGCTTTTGTTAATTATAAAAATTCGACGGTGTTCCTCTCTACGGTGGGCCAGCAGCGCCAAATAAACTGCATATTTTAACACATAGACAATTTCAGGCCCCCAATCCTCTTCCAATCTCTTAGCCAGGGATATTCTCATCGTCTATGTCTCTAAAGTTTTTATAACACCTACTGAACTATTATCAATCGTATAAGTATTCCAAGAATGATAAAAATTTATTCTCTGACGAATTTGAGTTGACCGAATTCAACAGACCTCGGCACCAAATTCGGCTGCATATTCCAGCTTAAAAGCGATGGACAGTTCGCTGCCAGTCGAATCGATGCCATCGATGTTACCACGTATCAGCAAATCAACATCCTGAGTTCCATCATGTCCAAGTGAAAACAACGCATAGCGCTTGCTGAGATCAGCACCCTCGAATCGGGAAAACCCGCCCTCCTCCACCAGTCCTTAAAGTTCGCAAAAAATTGTTATAAAGCTTTTAAAATATTTGTTTATTCAAAGCAAGTCCAAGTCGCTAGGGGGTTTACCATCGATGTCACATATTTTGGTGTTCAAGAATGAAGGGCATCGAATCACCCGTCTTCAAATTCGAACACTAAAAGTATCGGATCACTCGTCTTCAAATCCGAACGCGAAGTGCTCATCCGAGTGTGCCATCAGTTGTTGTACCTCACGAAAAGCATAGAGCGCTCCTTGCTCAACATATACCAAGAGCATTTTGAAATAGTTAAAACTCCACTGGAAAAGCTACCAAGCCAATAATTCCTTTAAGAGACGAAACGGACATCAGGAGCGCCAGCAAGTTGGCGAACCAGGCAAAGCAGTACAGATTAAAGCTACTAAAGTAGTTAACAGCTACTTCAACCAATAGTTGTATAAGTATTCCGAACAGATATTCAAGTACTGGAAAATTTGGAATGCTACTAAATTGCTAATGAAAATAACGAAATTAAGCAGTTTTAAAAGGTTGAAGCAAGACAGGATAAGACGTTTCTTACGGCCACATGTGTAATTTGGTCGTAGTGTAGACCAACAAAGGAAAACAGTCGAATTTTAATATGTGGTCAAACTCCAAAAAAAGGCATTTAGGTATCTCAGGTATGCAAACCGGTATTTAGAGTAGGCGACGTCTGTGTTTCATCCCTGAACTGTAGGGCAAATGATGAAAAGGCAATCAAAAGGAGGTATAAATGGCAGAAAATGTGTCCCAGAAAGAAGCGAAAAGCCAGCAAACAAAAAGCCACCACAAATCCGTGTACTGTCGATCGTCAATAGACAAGAAAGCAATGTGTGTTGCTTCAAAAACAGATACACAGTAGATGTGCTCCAACACTGTTTTGTCAGGTACAACAACTGATGGCGCAGTGGATTAGCACGTCGCGTTCGGATGTAAAAACGAATGGTTCGATACCTTCCCGGTTCACAACCTTTTTTGAAAAGGGCTCTGCTCACGACACCGTATACTGCTGAGTGACAATATGTAGAGGGGACGCCTTCAGGCCTACCGTATGGTAAATTGAAACAATTCCCATGAAAAAAAAAAGCTTGCATCACGTATCAACTACTCCACTGAGCTACTGAGCACTGAGCACACCAAATGCACACGAAACACATTTTCTACCCGCCATGGAAACGCATCAACCGAAAAAAACTACGATTATTCAAAAACAGTGAAAATTTTTCTCTAGCAAATTTGATTGAAATATTGGCCAAATATAAAGTAAGCGTATTAAACGGCCAATGCAAAAGCACACCTCCATAATCATTCGACCAATCACTTCGGTTACTGTAGTTCATTTCGTTCATTATATCGCCCAAAATATCATCACAGAAACTGCAAACAAGGCAAATAAAAATTACCGTTCCATTAAAGATCCCGTGTACGATGTGTACACAGGCACACACACACACACACACACACACAAACACACACACATATACATACAGTGTACGCACGCATACAGTGCACAAATGTACAGTACGCGCATACAATACACACACTATACACATATACACTATACACACATATACTATACGCACATACACTATACACACATACCCTATACACACATACACTATACACACATACACTATACACACATACACTATACACACATACACTATAC